TGGCAAAGCCAACTCCGTGCATTCTTTGGTCTTTTTCGGGCAGTTCCTTCCAGAAGAAGGTGTAGCCTCCTTTTTCTTCCTTCAGCTGTCCCTCTCCTGCTCTCCGGGTCTCCTGAAGGGCTGCTATGTCGATGTTGAAGCGTCCCAGCTCCCTTGCAATGATGGCAGTTCTGTGTTCGGGGCGTTCACTGCCACTGTTGTCCATCAGAGTCCGTACGTTCCACGTACCGAAGTTCATTTTCCTTTTTTGGCCGCAGGGTGGTGACCCCACTGGACGCGGCAGTCCAGTCAGGGATAAGTGAGGCAGACTATGTTTAGGGCACCTTTTCTAGCCCCCTCCCCATGTGGGGTGAGCAGAGTGGGTCCTCAATAGGGCTGCTCAGTTGCGGATACAGCTGCCGAACTACTCAACTGCCTCGGACCTTGAGGTAGAACGACTGAGTCCGTACCCACCGCCCATGTGCCAGTCTGTGACTAGGGGCTTCCAGATTTCACAGTCCTGCCCCCGTCGCCACTCGCTGATCGCCATGGGACTTTGGTTGGTTTGTTTTTATTTTCTTTGGAAGACGCCTGTGCTTGGGTTTTTTTAATGTGTGGAGGTCAGTGCACAACTGATCAACACACAGACTTCACAGAGTGAGGTTCCACTGGTGATGTAGTTTAACACAATGACCGTGGCTTCTCGGTCTGTTGCAGCCTTCTTCCGCCTTCGCAGCCGTTGTAACATGTGCCATGTTATCCTCCGCCTGCTCCGCCGTTGAGGTCTTTGGGTCTTCGGACTGTGCTTGGTCTGGAACCTCCCCCGCGGCCACTCCTGGGAGTGCACGACTCCAGTTGTTGTGCCTACAGGTTCATTGGAACGCGCAAGCCCCCTCACCACGACAAGGTGACAGTCCATCGAGGGGGTAATGTAGAATATATATATGTATAATGTAGAATATATCCTTCTGATTTCAGATAATGTTGTCGCTTGTGAAATAAAGCTAGGAAAGATAGGTTAGGATGTATACACTGTGCAATGTATACACATAGCAATGAAAGTCTTATCTCCACTTTCATCTGCTTGCAGTCCCAAAGGATATCAAATCAGTAAATACTGCAAATTATTTTACTCTTTATCATGACAAATATGACCAGAGATTTCTTTTTTAATTTCAGGCAGGAACTGATACAAGAATACTTTTTGCTACCACCCCAGGCCATGATCTCTGTGAAATGCTCCTCATATCATGTTGCCTCTCGCTGTGTCCTGATGGGAGATGCAGCACACGCACTTGTCCCCTTCTATGGCCAAGGCATGAATTCCGTAAGTCCAAGGGTTCACCTTGCAGTGAACATATTAAAAAGAAAAGATATGCAGGCTAAGAGGATATCCAATGACCAATTGAAGCAGAATAGTTATAATAAGGGGCTTTGTGTCAGGGTTTGAGGAAAGCGTGGTGTGACAACACTACCCACAGTAAAGAAGGCCCTCCTCATTGCAAGGGTTAGGGCCTTCTTTATTTTATTTTATTTATTTTATTTTTATTTATTATTAAACTTGTATACCGCTACTCCCAATTTGGCTCGGAGCGGTTTACAGCAGTAGATTAAAACAATACAATTAACTTTAAAATACAATAAAATCAAGAACAGACATAGTCCCGAGTTATTCACCCATCAAAAGCTTGTCGGAAGAGAAAGGTTTTACAGGCTTTCCGAAAAGCAAGTAGGTCTCGGATAGATCGGGTTTCAACTGGCAAGGCATTCCATAAATAAGGGGCTACAATCGAGAAGGCCTTTTCTCCCTCAGAGAACTTCTCTAGAAATTTCTGAGTCCCCAGGTTCAACTCTGTGGACAACTTCCACTAGAGCAGTGGTTCTCAACCTGGGGTCCCCAGATGTTTTTGGCCTTCAACTCCCAGAAATCCTAACAGCTGGTAAACTGGCTGGGATTCTGGGAGTTGTAGGCCAAAAACATCTGGGGACCCACAGGTTGAGAACCACTTCACTAGAGGGTTGTTCTCTCTCTTAATGTGTAGGTCCTCTAGAATAATACTACAGCTACTGGAAGACTAGAAAGTCTTAGAAAGACCAACATTAATCAAATCCGCAAATAATCTATATAAATAAAAATGTAATGTTCGTTTGTGGGATTAACAGAACTCAAAAACTACTGGACGAATTGACACCAAATTTGGACACAAGACACCTAACAACCCAATGTATGTCCCTCACTCAAAAATATTGATTTTGTCATTTGGGAGTTGTAGTTGCTGGGATTTATAGTTCACCTACAATCAAAGAGCATTCTGAACCCCACCAACGATGGAATTGAACCTAACTTGGCACACAGTTCTCCCATGACCAACAGAAAATACTGGAAGGGTTTGGTGGGCAGTGTCCTTTGGTTTTGGAGTTGTAGTTCATCTACATCCAGAGATCACTGTGGACTCAAACAATGATGGATCTGGACCAAACTCTACACGTATACTCAATATGCCCAAATGTGAACACCGGTGGAGTTTGGGGAAAATAGAGCTTGGCATTTGGGAGTTGTAGTTGCTGGGATTTATAGTTCACCTACAATCAAAGAGCATTCTGAACCCCACCAATGACAGAATTGGGCCAAATCTCCCACACAGAACCCCCCCTGTGAGCCACAGCAATGTGTGGCAGGGGATGGCTAGTCAGATATATAAAAACTTCAACTCACAAATGTGTGTCGGGGTTCAGGGGAACTGAAGTCTGCATAAATGTAATGTCACATAATATTCTAGTTAGATATAATTAATATAGGATGAATTAATTTCCATACTCTTCTGGATTTGATGTTCTGTCTCAGGATGAGAAAGAGAAAAGTGGTGGACAGATTTCCCACCCCTTCACAAGCTCTGTCATAAACAGAGCCGAGAGATGCAGCATCGAAGTAGAGTCCAAACAAACTCACAGAAATAGATGTTAGCTAGTGTCAACAGTCGAGAGTCACAAATACCAATTACAAAAGTCCTTAGAAAGCAGAAAACTATCTGAGACCCCCACTAACCTGCCCTATATCCCAGAATCTGATCCCAGATTATCTGCTTATCCCAGATTATCAGACAATGGAGACTCATATAAGCCAGTTCAGAGTAGATAACCTGAAGTCATATCCTGGGATATAAGGCCAGTGGGCTCTCCATGCAACCATAAAACCCAGAATAACAAGGCAGATAATAAACAATATCTGCTTTGAACTGGGTTATGTGAGTCCACACTGACATATAATCCAGTTCAATGTGGATTTTATACAGCTGTGTAGAAGGGACCAGTGTAGAAAGGGCCTGAGAATCTGGTCCAGAGTTCAAACAAAGATGTCTGAGCCAGAAGTCAGATTACCAATATTTATTTATTTATCGTGTCAGGAGCAAACCAAAACAGTTGTATTGCATTAAAATCAAACAAACAAACAAAACACAAAATTTGCAGACTTGGTATTCTATTAAATGTCCTTTGACCAGTATCTGGCCACTTGGAGTGCCTCTGGTGTTTCTGCAAGAAGGTCCTCCATTGTCCATGTAGCAGGGCTCAGGTTGCATGGCAGCAGGTGGTCTGTGGTTTGCTCCTCTCCACATTCACATGTTGTGGATTCCACTTTGTAGCCCAGTGGTTCTCAACCTGGGGTCCCCAGATGTTTTTGGCCTAGAACTCCCAGAAATCCCAGCCAGTTTACCGGCTCTTAGGATTTCTGGGAGTTGAAGGCCAAAAACATCTGAGACCCCAGGCTGAGAACCACTGTTGTAGCCCCATTTCTTAAGGTTGGCTCTGCACCTTGTGGTTTACCAATAAGATTGTCAATAAGCAGCAGAGTCAGGTCCCAGAACAAGAGCAAGTAGTCATTGAACTCAAACCAGGAAACGACGATAGCCAAAGTTCCAGTCCTGGGTCAGAAATCCTGTTTGTTGGAGTTCAAAAGCCAGGAGTTTTTAAATAGCTAACCAAGAAGCAGCAGAGTCTGGTTGCAAGACAAAAGTAATAGGTGTTGAATTAGAGCCAGGTAACAACAATAGCTAAAGGTCACTGTCCAGGGTTAGAGATGATGTTTATCAGAGTCCATGAGTTGAAAGCCTTGAATTTCAAACCAAGGGACAGCAGAGTCAGATTCCAAAACAAGAATCTCAATGTTGGCTGCCACCCAGCGTCCCAGCACTGAGGGCCTTTTATTTTAGGATCTCAGCTGTTGTTTTACCACACTTTCCCAGCTGATTTCTGAAACTTGTGATACCTCACCTGTTCTTTCATATGCTTTTTTTTTGTCGTGTCAGGAGCGACTTGAGAAACTGCAAGTCGCTTCTGGTGTGAGAGAATTGGCCGTCTGCAAGGACGTTGCCCAGGGGATGCCCAGATAATTTGATGTTTTTATCATCCTTGTGGGGGTTCTCTCATATTATTATAACTTTATTTGTACCCCGCTAGCATCTCCCGAAGGATTCGATGCGGCTTACACAGGCCGAAGCCCCAAAACACAATACAACAATACAATACCTAAAGCAAATTAAAAACAGTTAAGCAGAAAACAATCATATGCTGATGAGGTACAATTAATCTTTTGCTAACTTGCTCAGATATGCTTGCCTCAGCTTCCATGGCACGTTCTCGATGAACTGGATGTTGGTGCTCTTACAGCAAAGGTGATCAGGCCATCTTTTATGCCACATAAATGGAGCACTATCACGCCATTTTTAAAGCACGGTGATTCTTTAGTGTGAAGATTCTTGCTCTTATTCTTTTTCCTTCTAGGCTGGGACCCATCTGGCTCCTGCAAGAGCCAGTGGACAGTAGGACAAACAATTCCTCCTGTCATCCATGACAATTCCTCCTGTCATCCATCTCACTGTAAGGGCAGGGTTGGCCTTTAGGAAGGACAAACCAGCTTCCAGGAGTGCAGGGGTCAATGGGTGTGTGTGTGTGGGGGAGGTATCCAGATGGCCAGCTTTACACTGCTAACAGGATAGCTAAGGTCAGTGGGATTCTCCTTCCTTGTTCTCTGTGTTAGAATGTAAGTAGCTGACCATCTTCCACTTGTGTTTCTTCAGGGATTTGAAGATTGCCTGGTTTTTGATGAATTAATGGAGAAGTTCCAAAATGATTTCTGTGAGTCTTCATCAAGGCACATATAAGACTGTTGCGATTTGATGTGAATTCACTAGTAATATTTGCACAATACCCATGCAATTCATTTGAAGTGTAATAATAATAATAATAATAATAATAATAATCTTTATTTATACCCCACAACCATCTCCCCAAGGGGACTCGGGGCGGTTTACAAGAGGCCAAGCCCAGCAATACAATAAAACAATATAACACAAAAACACAGCAGCAAAAAATAAAAAAATAAAAAAAAATACAGAAACAAATATAAATAAACAAATCAAGCAATATAAAATCAGAGCATTAGAACACAGAAAATTGATCACAGTGGGCAGGGTCAATTACAAATGTAATGTATCAAGGACAGGGGAGCTGGGGGATAAAGTGGAGTTTCATTGCACTAACAGGTATACTAAAGTGCTTCCAAGGACATCTTATGTAGGGTTTGGTCAGGGATTATTGTTTATTCAATCATTGAAGGCACACTGGAACAGCCAAGTTTTCAGGCTCTTCCTAAAGACTGCCAGAGTGAGGGCTTGCCTAATATCTCTGGGGAGTGAATTTCAGAGCCGAGGGGCCACTACAGAGAAGGCCCTCTCCCTCGTCTCCACAAGTCTCATTTGCGATGGGAGTGGGAGCGAGAGAAGGGCCTCTCCAGAAGATCGAAGAGATTGCGTAGGTTTGTAGATGGAAATGCGGTCACGCAGATAGGCAGGTCCCAAACCATTCAGGGCTTTGTAGGTAAGAACCTGCACCTTGAATTGGGACCGGAAAATAAACGGCAGTCAATGGAGCTCCTTAAACCGCTCTCTGTAATTTGCCCCAGTTAGTAGTCTGGCTGCCACTCATTGGACCAATTGGAATTTCCGGGCTGTCTTTAAGGGCAGCCCCATGTAGAGTGCATTACAATAGTCCAGTCTAGACATAACTAAGGCATGGACCAGCACGGCCATATCCGCTTTCATGAGGTACGGTTGCAGTTGGTGCACGAGCTTCAATTGTGCAAAGGCCCTCCCAGCCACTGCCGATGCCTGCGCTTCAAGTGTTAGTGATGAATCTAGGAGGACACCCAAGCTGCGGACCTGTGACTTCAGGGGGAGTGCGACCCCGTCGAGCACAGGTTGCCACCCTATACCTCGATCCGGCCTGCGATTGACCTGTAGTTGGGATCAGGCCTTCCATCTGCACATGGTCACTTGCCCCTGGCTCTCTCTTCTTTAATGCCATAATCTCTTGCATGTCCTGTTTCATCAATGAAGGAGGAATATGATAAAACAGCTACAGCGATTATCTCCTAATATATTTCACTTCTGGGGGAGAAAGAGTAAAGGAGATACATTTAATAGAATTTATAATGTAAAGAAGAGTACTTAAACCACACACAAATGTTAAATACACTTCTACAATGGCAAAATGCTAACACAAAATCCCCACACAGACTATGCTTGCCAGATGGCCTTTTCTTTTAAGTGTTTACTCTGATGAAAGCTGTCAGTAACCTGTGAACTTATGTGTAATGATGATCTTGCTTTTCCCCTAGGTCGTTGCCTTCCAGAGTTTTCAAGACTGAGAGTGCCTGATGACCATGCAATCTCAGATTTATCCATGTACAATTATGTAGAGGTGAGTTTAAAATGGTGTAGTAGTTTGAGCATCGGACTCAGACTCTTGGAGACCAGGGTGCAAATCCTTGCTCAGCTGTAGAACCTTCTGGGCAGGTTTATACTATTTAGAGCAGTGTTTCTCAACCTTCCTAAAGCCGCGGCCCCTTAATATGGTTCCTCATGTTGTGGTGACCCCCAACCATAACATTATTTTCATTTCTACTTCACAACTGTATTTTGCTACTCTTCTGAATCACAATGTAAACATCTGATATGCAGGATGTATTTTCAATCACTGGACCAAATTGGCATGCATACCTCATTTTAATACTGGTGGGGTTGGGGGGATTGATTCTGTCATTTGGAGTTGTAGTTGCTGGGATTTATAGTTCACCTACAATCAAAAAGCATTCTGAACTCCACCAGCAATGTAATTGAGCCAAACTTGGCACACAGAACACCATGTTGTTTGTTGTTGTTTATTTGTTCAGTCGTTTACGACTCTTTGTGACCTCATGGACCACCCCACGCCAAAACTCCCTGTCAGCCATCACTACCCCCAGCTTCTTCAGAGTAAAGCCAGTCACTTCAAGGATACCATCGATCCATCTTGCCCTTGGTCGGCCCCTCTTCCTTTTTCCTTCCTTTTTCCCCAGCATCATTTTCTTCTCTAAGCTTTTCTATCTTCTCATGATGTGGCCAAAGTACTTCATCTTTGCCTCCTTCCCTCCAACGAGCAGTCAGGCTTTATTTCAGTATGGACTGGTTGAACACAATGACCAATAGAAAATACTGGAAGGGTTTGGTGAGCATTGGCCTTGAATTTTGGAGTTGTTGTTCACCTATATCCAGAGAGCACTGTGGACTCAAACAAGGATGAATCTGTACCAAACTTGGCACAAAATATTCAATATGCCCAGATGTGAACACTGGTGGAGTTTGGGGGGAAAGGACCTTGACATTTTGGAGTCAAAGCTGCTGGGATTTATAGTTCACCTGCAATCAAAGAGCATCTGAACCTCACCAACAACAGAACTGGACCAAACTTTCCACACAGAACTCCTATGACTAACAGAAAATGCGATGTTTTCTGATGGTCTTTGGTGACCCCTTTGGCACCCCCTCACGACCCCCTCAGGGGTCCCGACCCCCAGATTGAGAAACACTGCCTTAGAGGAAAGCAATGGCAAAATGCTTCCAAAGAAATCTTACCAAGGCCCTTATTGCATTACACCATTACATCGTCATTGCAATGGTTTAGGCCTGCCTTTTGTCTCAGTCTTATTGCATGACTTTGTGTTTCTCCTGGTGCTGTTGAAACGGACAGTCATTGAAAATGTAGTATTTTCCATCCTGAAAATAATGGTCTCCTTTTCCACTATGATTCAGTAACCAGTTTCAATGCAGATGTTTCATTCTACTTATTTGCAAGACCGACTGATCAGCAGGTGTGGTGCGGGTCAAAGACTATACTCTCTGAATATTTCCAGTGCTTGGGTGGGTAAAACAAGGCACCCCAAGAAAATAACTGTGTTTTCTGTGGTCTATGCGCTTGAAACTCCTTTCAGTCTCCACTATTAAAAACAGTTTGCTGACATATTGTAATAACACTGTGATTCTGAACGATATTTAACGTCACTGTTCAGCTGTCTTTACTGCACAGAAGTGTTTTCTAAAGACGGTACTGTTCTGCTATCTGGGAGGAGGCCACAAGGGGGCAATAAAGAGGGACGGATTGTCAATTTTATGGAGGGGGGTTAAAAGAGGAAAACTATTTCCCCCATTTTTACTGGTTATTCCTCCTCTCCATTTCCCATGTCATAAATGAGGGTTGTTTCCATGATGGGGACATGGGTGATGGGAATAACGGGAAAACAGGGGGAAATGATTTTCCTCCTTCAACCCACTCACCACTCTCTTAAAATAGACTATCCTTCTCTCTCTCTCTCTAGCGCCCCTTTGTGGCTTCTGCCCAGATAATGGAACAGTATCCTAAAGACTTTTTCACGGCTTCCCTGTGGTACTACACATCACAATAATTTATTAAACATTTTGAAGTCAAAATAATAGCACAATAATGCTGTAATATCATGCTGTAATAACATTATTACAGCTCAATAAATGCGAATGAAGTTATTTTTGAACAAGACAACCTCAAAAATGTTTAGTGTGATAAGCATTTCTGTTTTTTTGTTAACAGGATTAAAATATCAAAAATGGTTGGGGAATGTATCTTCTGTTTCTCTTCCTGTTTCACCTCTCACAGTGTGGGGACTGTGGCACAGCTGTCTGAGTGTCAGCTGTATTAAGATCTCTTCTGACCAAAGGTCATGAGTTCGAAGCCAGCCCGGGTCGGAGTGAGCTTCTGACCAATTGTGTAGCTTGTTGTCGACCTTTGCAACCCGAAAGACAGTTGCATCTGTCAAGTAGGAAAATTAGGTACCACCTATGTGTGGGGAGGCTAATTTAACTAATTTATGAGGCCATAAAAAAGACTCCAGCAAAGCACTCCAGCAAAGCATGTGGGGAATGCGGAAGTACTCATCAGCGTCGCAGATGGACAATGAAAGCGACAGCTTCCCTGGCGGCCAGAAAAAGTTAAATAGCCTCTGACTGTCTGTCTATATGTTGTGTGTCTTTGGCATTGAATGTTTGCCATATATGTGTACATTGTAATCCGCCTTGAGTCCCCTGTGGGGTGAGAAGGGCGGAATATAAATACTGTAAATAAATAAATAAAATGTGTGCTCTCAGTGACACTTATATGGCCAATTAAACAGAAGGAAGTAGAAATTACACAGTTTTGAACACAGCAACCTGCAACAATGTTATTTGTCATAAGAGAAAGAGAGCAAAATGGCAGGGGATAGTGTAGTCTTTCTTTTCTGGTGCCAACTTTTGTGATGAGAGATTTGAGCAACGATGGGGGTTGTGCTTTTATAGCATTTTTTATGGATGGAAGGAGGTATATAGAAGCTAACCCTTGTTTCAATCCGTAAAGTACAAGGTGGGGCAAATAGAATGGTAAAAACAAAATTAATGCAGATGAAAAACCCCTGTGCAAATTATGGTATAACATTAGCGCAGATGAAAAAAAAAGTATAAGTGTGGTGAGGGTATGATATAGAGCATCAACAACCAGCTGTCATTGTGGTGTGATAGGGATCCATGAAAAACCCTATGACAGGGTTGCCATAAACCAGAGTCAATGTTAATGCATAGAACAACATAAGCTATAAATAAGCTAGTTGACAATTGAGTACTGAAACATGTTGTGGAATGTGAATGTCTTTCTTGGTGATTTCAGATGCGTGAGCTTGTTAATTCAAGGTGGTTCATCTTCCGGAAAAAAATATTCAACTTACTTCATGCCCTCTTCCCCTTCACCATCATCCCTCTGTATACCATGGTAAGACCCCTATCACTAAATATTGCAGCACTGGTATGTGATTTAACTCTAGATGGTCTCCTTTCTCCTTCTGGGACTTAACTCTGTGATTTTGTAATCTGGTTCAGGTCACCTTCTCCAGAATCCGGTATCATGAAGCTGTGCAAAGATGGAAGTGGCAGGATAAGGTCTGTTGTATTTGAAAGCATTTGCCGGATTTTTTTTTGCCATTTTCTGCATCTACAGTAGGTTTTTTTTTTGGGGGGGGGGGGTAGTCAGTGACATTCCTACAATAACAACCTCTGTTATCATAGTGTAAAGAGCTCCTTACCTTAAGCAGCTAGAATGTGGGCCTGGTGAAGCCCTGGTGGCCATCTTAGGATAGGGAAACAAAGAGACGCCATCTTAGTTAAGGGTTTTCTAGAGGGGGCATGTCCTAATCCAGGAAGCAGAGATTAGATGGCCAGGATTGGTTAGAAAATAGGGGACGGAGCCTAGCATTCAAAAAGAAAAAATGTACATGGAACACTTTGAAAAACAAGCCCTGGAGACAGCAACCAAAAAGCCCACTATATGGTTCAGATATGTGGATGACACCTTCACCATTTGGAGCCATGGGGAAGAAGAACTCAACAGGTTCCTGGACCATCTTAACAGCATCCACCCAAAAATCCAATTCACAATGGAAAAAGAAAATGAAGGAAGACTGCCTTTTCTAGATGTCCTAGTCATCCGCAAACCAGATCAACAATTGGGTCACACCGTCTACAGAAAACCCACACACACAGATAGATATCTACATAAAAACTCCAACCATCACCCAAGTCAAAAAAGAAGCACCATTAAAGCCTTGGCAGACCGTGCAAAAAGAATCTGCGGGGGGGGGGGGGGGGGGGGGGGGGGGTGTGGGGGGGGGGGGGGGCCTTGGCAGACCGTGCAAAAAGAATCTGCGAAACCCACCTCCTCCAAGATGAACTGAACCACCTAAATTGGGCTCTACAGGCCAATGGATACTACACCTCAGACATCAGAAGAGCTGCAAGACCGAGAACAAGCCACGAGAGTAAATATGAAGATCCACCCAGAGGAAAAGTGTTCCTGCCATACATCAAGGGAACCACTGACCGCATAGGGAAGCTGATGAGGAAACACAACATACGAACAATCTACAGACCCACCAAGAAAATCCAACAAATGCTACGTTCAGCAAAGGACAAGAGGGATCCTCTCACCTCTGCAGGAGTCTACCGTATACCATGCAGCTGTGGACAAGTCTACATAGGGACCACCAAACGCATTGCCCAAACACGAATCAAGGAACATGAAAGGCACTGCAGACTACTTCAACCAGAGAAGTCAGCCATAGCAGAGCACCTGATGAACCAGCCTGGACACAGCATATTATTTGAGAACACAGAAAGGCTGGACCACTCCAACAACCACCATGTCAGACTACACAGAGAAGCCATTGAAATCCACAAGCATGTGGACAATTTCAACAGAAAGGAGGAAACCATGAAAATGAACAAAATCTGGCTACCAGTATTAAAAAACTCTAAAATTACAACAGCAAAAACAGCAGAGAGGAAACAACCAGGCACATCTTAACACCTCTCAACAGAACATTTTCCCAGGCTCAGCCAGGCCTTCAAATGCTAATGAAGGTGGTCAGCTGAAACATTCACACCTAGGTTCAGCAGAGAGCTCTTTGCCCCACCCCAGTCATTCCACAGATATATAAACCCATTTTCCTATTTCCAACAGACCTCACTACCTCTGAGGATGCTTGCCATAGATGCAGGCGAAACGTCAGGAGAAATGCCTCTAGAACATGGCCCTATAGCCCGAAAAAACCCTACAAGAACCTAGTGATTCCAGCCATGAAAGCCTTCGACAATATACAGAAAAAATGTACCTTTCGAACTGAGGCTTGAGTTGGTAGTTGGAAATTGTCCGTTGGGGAAGTTTGTCGGTTGGTGATAACAGTTAGTTGGTGTTAGATAGGAGAGCTGGGTTAATCTTTTGTGGTATTCAAGAGCTAGAGAAATTAGCTAGGAATACAGATAGTGGAACCGGACCTTGTTCGTGGTCTGTTCTTTGTCCCTGAGGAAGGCTAGGCCAAAGGATATTGGCTAGGTTCCAGAAAAGGGGAATTTTGTTTGGAATTATTATCAGCGATTAATTTCCTGAGATAATCTCCTGTTTTGTTAACATCAAGATTTGAACCCAGAACCTATCTAAGAATTGTACCTCAAAAGTAACCAGAAGCTTATGTACCAGTAACTTACTGAAACCACTACGTATTTGTACCAGAAGAAGTTTAAGCCTGTTAAATAAACGTTTTAGATTTGTTAACACTTTATAACAGCCTCAGTGTGAACATCATTGTGATTTAAACCCTCTAAAGAAAATAAACATTATTGTAATACAAGAGAGTGTTACTAAGTATACTCTCCACATCAGTCTGAATACCAAACAAAAAGGTGACAGCAAAAACAATTGAAGAAACAGTTTCAAGATCTCCCAGTTGCCTCTTTCCTGTTTTAAAAATTCCCTTGCACCTATATATAATTTGGTTGGCAGCTTGTGGGATTCACTATTTTAAAATCCCCTGTTCCTTTTCCTGCTAAGTTCCTTATAATTAGCGGCAATCGGCTGGTATAATTTTCTCCAGGTTCCTTATAATTGGTGATATAGAGGTGCGGTAACATAGCAACCCTTCTTTTGGTCATTATTTAAAACATTAAAGTGTCAATATCAATAGCTATTATGATATTTTTTTAAGGTTTAACATTCTTTTTAGGAGCCGTGGTATCTTTAGGTTGCAGTTTAATGCATGCCTACTAAGTGTGAATCCATTGAGTCCAATTGGGCTCATTCACAATTTCTGAATACGGGATGGTGGAAATATTTCAATTTTTTCCTGTTGCATTATTCCGATCTATAACTCAAACTGGGTTTCTTCTTTTAGGTAATAAACAGAAGCCTTTTCTGCATTGGAGCAGTGACAGCATTGAGTGGCATCTATCTGCTAAGAAATGTGATAAAGCAACAAACCAATTTCAGTAACAAGAATATGTGGAGAAGAGATAGCTTTAAAATCTTTGGAAATGTTCCACAATTCTACTAAAAGCATATCAGAGAAAAAGAAGCCTTAAATCTCAAATGAACTCCTGTTTTTAATATTCATTTTTTCCCAAATCCACATGTGTGAAGGGAGGAGCTGGGCAATCCTGGTTTGTTCCAGCCAAACACTTCTTAGATAATGCTGAGGCGGATTTATTGGGGAGACAGATACAACGTGGAAGTTGTCCGTGACAGAACAAACATGGAAGGAAGATAGCCTAGAGATAGGGAGAGGCTGTAATAAAGATATCACAATCAGCTCAGGAGAAGAACTGAATATGGTTTAAGGGAGCTGGGAATGATTAAATAGTCCCGGGGATATCTAATTGTGATCCAGTTTTGTCTTAATAAACTTAGACTTGTTTATTCCTTTTTACAACTATATCTGGTTATTTCTGTTAAGTTTTGGTCATGCTTACCACAGCACACCAACTCAACAACACAGCAGATGGTCCACATGGGGCTCGCCTTGAATCCCAATTACCCTATCTAGAGAAGGATCTTGAGGGGAAACAGGGCATGGTGAGGTACAGGAGCCCATGGGTTGGAACTGTGGGGCCAAGCTGGGTAGGAGATCCATCATAGCGTGTCATTAGGGTCAGTGATGGTACATCCATCTCCTGGTTTCCTAAGTTATTGATGAAAGTGCCATATAAGCTTGACTCACCTGAGGCATTGAATGCTTGCCTTTTTATACATACATACATACATACATACATACATTAGAGTTTTTCAGATATAATAAAAAGAGGGGGAAGAATTGTTTGGTATAGGAAAGTAGGAAAATAGAAAGAGACATAAAAGAAATTTAAATAGGGCAGTGTTTTAGGGGGGATGGGTAGAGGGGAGGAAAACAGAGGGATGGAAGGATAGGGAAGGGGTTAGGGTTGGGTTAGAGTTAATATATAGTCTGACTTCCAATCTTCTTCACTTCAGGTA